AAAATAAAAAATAAATAAATAAAATGTGGCTAGTTAGTCATGTATCCAAAGATACATGATTGACTAAGCAATACATGATTGACGAGGCAGGTTTTTTCCAGCAGTAGGTTGCCATTTCTTTCTGCGGTAGACCAATTGCTAACCAAGGATATAGAACACGGTCTAGCTGGTGGGGGGGGGGGGAGAAGAAGATTCATACCTTTCCAAAGGGTATTAGCCCGTAAGTGAATCTAATGGATTCAACTGGAATTCGAACTCGGCTCTCCGATTCCTCAATCTACTACTTCACCGTGCTCCCATTATTATAGGGATACAAAATTGACAGGAATTAATTTTAAACTTTCTTTCTCAAGAGATAGTTTGAAGTGTGCCCTAATCGGAAATGTAAGAATTTCATATTTGTAGTTACATTTGACGTATTCTAACGTGTTGGAAAATAAACGACTAAAAATCAGCAGGAACTTTCTGGACAGCTCAAACCTTCTACAGGCTGTTTCCATTAAGTTCCAATATTAAATCCAGACAGGAGACAAACTCTCATAATCAATTTTTGAGCCGACATATTGTTTTCACATATTAATATTGATATACTTTGAAATTTGTCTGGTCGTAAGTGATGCGTGTCGCTTTTGTGTTACTGAATAGGTTTACAGACTGTTGCAGTTGGAAAAATTATATTTTTTGTCCTTTGAAGTAGGCACCTCTGAAGGTTCGCTAAAAAATGAGCATACATGATGAAAATAAAAAATAACCAAAACTTAATAAAAACAAAGTTTTATCGTCAAAATCTTTGTGGTATTAAGAGAAAGGGCCAAAGGATTTTTTTTAATTATTAAATTGTTTTTAATCCTTTTTAGAAATTCATAAATTTTGGTTGAAGATTTCGTTTTTCAAATTAGTATGGGAAATTTGAACATTTTTTTTGCGTTGAAAAACACATTAATTTGGTAATTCTGACAAAAATCAGAAGAATTTGTTGGATTTTAATTAAACTTTCATGGCTTATTCGCAAATCAATGAACTTATTTCAGAAACGTTTCTTTTATTGAAAATCTTGGTAAGAAACATTTTTTTTATATCTGTTACGCCCACCACACTTATGTAATTTATGACATTTTGAAAAATTCTTTTTCATAACGCTTAACATTTATATTAGTTAAAAAGGACAAACCGTTGGAGAATTTAAAATATTCATTTTTTTTTGTCAAGCAGGAACAGCAGTTACAGAAAATCTGCACAGAATCGTAAAAAATGCAATAAAGCTGAGAAATTATTTAATTAGAAAAGCTTTTAATTACTTTTATGAATAAGATATATTAAGGACACTATTGTTTTAAGAAAAGAAAATTCGATGACTAATAAATTTTTACAAGAATTGTTTTAATTTTTTCAAATTTCAGTGATAAAAATCCATCTGCCTGAGTCTGTTCATATCTATCTATCTATCTGGCCAATTTTAGCGATTAAAAAAATCAAATCTCTTTCCAATCAATTTGAATTTGGTTTGAAATACAGTAAAGTATTTTGCTTATTTGAAATAGTACATTTAATCTATTAGCTTGAAGTTAAAAGTAAAACAAAAGTCCAAGAAATATTTTTTTTCTTATTTTTAGAAATGCAATTTAGACTTAAGGTATTGTTTTTTCTTTTGTAGGTACATAATTAAGAAATATTTAAAAAAAAAATTCTTTGTTTTTATTGGTAGGCTCGTTTCGTTTCGTTTTATTGTTGAATATTCTACATTGATCACCAATCCGTTTTGTCAAGGATTGATCAAAAAGCTGACCACTTAAAGGTCTTACACCATCTTTTTCTTTTCTGAGAGAATTTTCAACGTGTCTCTGTTTCTTGATGATAGAATTAAGTTTTGTACGAATAAGACATTATTTAAATAATCAACATTTTGTCACTTTCAAAGTTTGAAACCCTATCTATCTATCTAGCTAGCTATATTTTTTTAAAAATAGAAATGAGGTTATATAGTTTTTACTTCTTTAATAAGAAATATCTAAAACTTCATTTATTTAAATTTTTTTCGTATCTATCTATCTATCTATCTATCTATCTATCTATCTATCTATCTATCTTGTCCACTAAAATATTGCAGGGAGACAGCAGTTGTTTTCCCTTGGGTTGAACGCAGAAGGACCAAGAGCACGCCCAACCAATGAGATTGGTAAGAATCTGGATTTATTAATATATCGAAGGTTAAATAGTTCATAATAGTGTATTGTATTCAGGACACGGAAAGAAATGTATAAACGCCAGAAATCAAAGATAATAATAATTATTATTATTATTATTATTATTTCGGGGGATGTCATGATCCAGTGTGACCATGAAGGATTTGTATGAAAACTAGAAAAGAAAGTAGAAATAACATGTATCATCATACATATTGTATGTTCCGGAGACGATGAAGAAGAAAAGCAACAGAAAAACAAAAACAAAACAAAAACAAAACAAAAACAATACATTTTAAAATGAGAAGTGTACAAATTAGGTTCAGTGAAGTGTGAGACAGTCAACCCTGTTTATAGCGGTGAACTAGACACAATAAGTACTGATTTTTCGAATTGTCTAGAGAACATTGGGGTCAATGTCAAGATTGAACACTTGCAGACGTTTGCACTCACTAATCATGATAAAAGTGAGTCTGTAGACGACTGGTAGTTTTCTTCCATCTCCAGCAAAATTTGCTGACTATGCAGATCAATTATTATTATTATTATTATTATTATTATTATTAAAATAATAATAATAATAATACAGAAAATAAAAGGTTTGCGCACTGACTGACTTGAGAACACCAAGTGACAAAAACATCTCCACGAAAGTTATCGAAAAATTAAGCAAAAACCTGGGGATGGAAATAGAAAAATATGTGGCATTAAAAACTAGAACTATTCTTGTTGTGGCTGGAGCTTTGGTCTAATAAAAAAAGGAACTCAAGAACAATCTAAAATCAAAATTTATCGCGTACCATCTCTCCAGGAAATCCAAAAATTATTTATAACGAGCACAGTCCATATACAGTGATGAGCTTTGTCCACTTTAATTTCTTTCTTTTTTTTTTTGCTAATAGAATTTTTTAAACTATTTTTTTTGTGCAGTGATCTTAACCCTGTACAAGTCCAAGCAAATCCTACAGGTACAGAGTTACAGAGTAAGAAGCACTGTTTATGCGGATGAACTTAAGATTGTAATGATCAGGGAAGCATCCTCTTGGGAGACGACTCCACAAAGCAACAGTTCGTGGGAAGAAACTGCTCGAGTGGAACTTACATCTCACCAATGGAATACGAATGGAATGAGGGTGGTTTGCTACAATGTGCTACATGTTGTGTCATAACCAATGACCTTAGTGAAATGACCTTGGGGGAATGAGTAACCAATGTGTATAAAAAAAAAAAAAAAAATAATAATAATAATTTTAAAAACAACTCTTAAATACAGAAATAAAAATAGAATAAAATAAAAAAAAAACAATAAAAATTTTACGCACCATTTTAATTTGTCTTTCAATGTTTTATTATCATTTTACCCCAAGCAAGACAATAAAGCAACTAAGACGCAAGGGATTACTGAGTATTAGAGAATATGCGAAAATATAGCATTAAAAAGAGACGGCCATAAAAGAACAAGGATTAAGAAGACAGAAGATAACGATTGACATTGAATTTAAATCTTTATAGCTCAAAGTCAACTGGAAAGCAATAATCCGGAAGGGAGTTTCACAAGCGGGAAGTACGATAGAAGAAACTGTTAACGTAGAACTTGCGGTTACATGTAGAAATTTCAACTGTGAACTTTTGTTTACTTTTTGATTGGTTTATATTAATATGGATTTGATAACGCCCTTTCTGTTTAACGGCAACTCTCACAACGAGTGTCCCACAATTCTACCTTCATTTCATCTTTCCTGCTTGCTTGCCTTGCTGTGACCACCGTCGTCCCTACCCTAACACGGTCCCTACTCCGTCCCGTCAATAACTTCACTTGCCGCCGAAAAGCTGAGAAGTTTTCATCATTCGTAACTCGATAGGCGAATGGATTTGAGCCGAAGCGAGACACGCTGGAGTCGAGAGGAACGTTTGTTTATTTGTGTTCATGATAAAGCAAACGTTATATAGCGACTGAACACTGACTTTAGTTTTACTTTCTTTCTTTTTTATATTCCTAGAAAAGAAAAAAAAAACAAAAACAAAAAAAAACAACAACAACAAAAAAAACAAAACAAAAACACCTCACTCTGTCTCTTCTAGACGTTCGCTAAAAAGCTATGGAGACATTCGGACCAGCTTGCCTTGTTTTTTGCTTGTGTTCAACTAGTAAATTCACTTTTACATTGTTATTTTAATTTATTTTTATCTTCCTCATCGCACGTTGCTTTGCCCACACAGACTGAGAAACGCCAGCCCGAACCCTGCACACACCCCTCTCAACATTTCAACGATGCATAAATGAGTAATTCTTGTGTAATCCTCAAATACCATGAGAAATCTATAATCTTTTTTCAAAATTCAGACATTAGCCAATTTCATTTTTATGTAGATAAACAATTTCACTTATTTATCTCTTCCTAAATGCGTTTAAAACACTTTTCAGATATTGCCTTATATCGTTACAATATTTATTAAACATCACTAATATTGGCACATGGAGATAAAGTGAGGTACTTAGCAAAGGTAGATATATTGCAAGTTTAGTAAAGGTTTCCAGTAAGTACGACGAAGGTCGGTCAAAAAGTAATGCCTGTTCTTTAATTACAACAGGTTTATTAGTCCAAGCGCCAAAGGTATGCCAAAATAAACAGCGATTTCTCAAGATTTCAAATCTAGTTTTCAAAATTGTCTACTTTCTTCCGAATTGTGGTACGAGGGTCAGTCAAAAATAACTGCCGAGTTCTTCTTTAAGTAAAACATATTTAACAGTCGAAGCAAACAATGTATACCAAAGGGAATACAAAAGTTTCAGTATTCCACATTTAGCTTTTAATATTACCTCCTTCCTTCGCAATCAATGTATTTCACCATAGATAGATAGATAGATAGATAGATAGATATGAACGGGTTAAAGATAGATAGATAGATAGATAGGAACTGACTGAGATAGATAGATACGAACAGACTGAGATAGATAGATAGATAGATAGGTACGAACAGACTGAGATAGATAAATACGAACAGACTGAGATAGATAGATAGATAGATAGATAGATAGATAGATAGATAGGTACGAACAGACTGAGATAGATAAATACAAACAGACTGATACACACACACACACACACACACACACATATATATATATATATATAGATGGATAGATAGATCTGAAGAAACTGATAGATAGATAGATAGATATGAACGTGTTATAGATAGATAGATAGATAGATAGATAGACAGATAGATAGATATGAAGAAACTGATAGATAGATAGATAGATAGATAGATAGATAGATAGATAGATATGAACGTGTTATAGATAGATAGATAGATAGATAGATAGATAGATAGATAGATACCAGGGTTAGCCAAGCAGCAATCTTTATTATTTAATTACAAGAAATTTAATAATAGAATGAACTCACGAGGGAATGTTTCTCTGCAGAATCTATCTTGTATATCTATAAGTCTACCATTCGTCCATGCTTAGAATATTGCTGCCACATATGGTCCGGTGCTCCCACTATTTGCTTTGATCTCCTTGATAAATTCCAAAGAAGAATCAGCAATATTATTGGTCCTGATCTGGTATCCCGGCTTCAGTCACTCTCCCACCGCCGTAAAGTTGCTTCCCTGTGACTTTTCTAGAAATAATTTCATGGCAATTGTTCGGATGAGCTCTTTATTTGTTTTCATATTGTAATTACTCATTGGGGCTTGTTTTTATTAATTGTTGTTTTATTCCCTTCCACTCATAGACAATGAATTGTAAATTACTGTTGAGTTGTCTAGATGTAACTGTAAGTTCTTTGCTAAGTGTCTTTTCTTGCACTTCTCACTTGTGGAACTCTTTTCCGACTCCATGCTTTCCAGCCAACTTTAATCTTTAAAAATTTAAAGAAAATGGTCAGTCGCTATTTACCGCCTTCCTGATTATCTTCTTTTGTTCTTGCTCCTTAGAAATGTTTCTAATTCTTCTAAGACCACAAAACCCTTATATCTTAATGGTTTCACAGGCTTTCTTGGGATAAACACGATAAAGATAGAAAAAGACATACAATTCTAGATTTAGTCTCCACTATTGTCTCATCGTTTCAGAAACATTGGATTTCACATTCGAAATGGCATATATATATTATGAAATGGACAAAGTCCGACAATTATTTTAAGACATTTTTTTATGTTTATACGTTCTTTTTATAGATGCAAATATTTAAGTAAAAGCTCTGTTTATAATAAACAGTATTAACAACATTTACCGGCTTGAATGTCCGAGAAATTTTCATAGAAAATATGCGTTCTCCGACAGAAATAGAACCTGTATCCTATACGGAACCGTCATATAGCCTGACGTGCTTTTACCAAATGAGCCACAGAGGAGCGTTTTTGTTAGCAAGGTCGATTTTACGACAATTTTCCATGATTTTCTCGCATATATTTATATCTGCTAGATGCGTATCCAAATGTAAACAAATGACGTCATACATTTTGAAATGGATAAAGTCCGACAATTATTTTAAGACATTTCTTATGTTTATACGTTCTTTCTATAGAAAATCATTATAAACAGAGCATTTACTTAAATATTTGTATCTATAAAAGAATGCATAAACATAAAAAATGTCTTTATATATATATATATATATATATATATATATATATATATATATATATATAAATTCTAACATTAATTCAAAAGAGGGCTCCGTGTCGATAGTAAAGCAATAATTATTTATTATAATTTTTTCATATAGACAAAAACAATTTACTCACTACAAAGATGCAACTTCGTTTCGCTGCATTTCGTTGCCCCTCGACTGGTGAGAACCAAAATGGTTATGAACAATTGTTGCATCCTTTTAGTGAGTAAATTGATTTTGTCTTTCTGAAAAAAAATTATAATAAATATACTTTCTCTCTCTCCCCCTCTCTCTCTGTATATATACATATATATATATATATATATATATATATATATATATATATATATATGCGCAGTGCTTATTAGAATGTGCTCAATATCAGTGATAGATTACTTACATTATACTCATCTTCATTGCCATGTTCACAACGTTTAGGCCGTTGCACGCTCGGGTCTTCTTCAGATGATTAGATTTTCGAACAGAACCCTTTATTTCGTCCACCGGGGTAAGTTGTTATTTCCCTTTAATTCAACTCTCCTAGTATGATTCACTACAGCTGTGGTATTAAACTCACAACTCTTTGAGTTTAGTCACTGGATTTAACCACTAGGCCATGTGTCCTTGAGGACAGCTATGCGTGAATTTTTTGCAATTTGTGTTATTATTCATTGCTTTTGTCTAGCACTCCTTATAACTGGTCCTATATTGCATTCATTTCTATGCTTGGCCTAGTATATGTGCTGATTCCTTAAGTTTTAAACCAAGAGGCATGGCACATGGAACTAGAAGAATGGGCGGGGGCGAAATAAAGGGTTCGGTTAGAAATTTCAATCATTTGAAGAAGGCCGGATCGTACAATGGCCGAAACGTTGTCAATATGGCAATGCAGATGAGGATAACAGTCCGAATAATGTATGTAATTATAATACCTCTTCTCATAGATATAGACAGATATTACTGATAGAGCTAACATATTCAATTGTATGGATATGAGTTTGTGACCCTGGAAGTGTAAGTTCGTCTGACGACGCAGGCGGCTGATCTGAAAAGTGTTAAGTACACCCCCCACCTTCCTCTTGTTGAAAGAACATCGCTACACATAGTAAGTGCTACTGTATTGACACCGAAATAAATTTACAATTGCGTATATGTGTGTGATCAAACGTGAGAATGTGTATGTGCGCCTAGTCTCGGCTTGTTTTTATGGGTGTATTTGTGCGAACAGAAATGCGTATGTCTGTCTGTGTCTGTGAGAGTGTCATTCCAAAACAGACAGAGAGGAGAATTTCCCCTCCCACCACCGAACATAAGCAAACACAAACAAGCCTAAATAGATCCAATTTTTAAATAATAAACCAGTTTGTCTGATGATCGCAAAAGAGTGAAACCCAGAGTCACAAACTCATAACCACACAACTGAATATATATATATATATATATATATATATATATATATAGTATTTCAAAAGACTAAAAATGCATTTCTAAAAATTAAAAATCTTTCCTAAAGCTTTTATTTTTGTTTTAATTCCAAGCTAATAGATTAAGTTTAATATTTCTATTAAGCCAAATACGAATTTAAATTGAGTGAAATAGATTTATGAAATTGCTAAAATCGGCCACATTGACAAATCTGTCAACACAAAATAGCTCTCTTTATTAAAAAGATCTTTCAAAACTAAAATATATTTTTCTGAAACTTTATTTGAGCCAGATTAGCTGACTTAAAGTTCAATTAATCTGATTTGAAAGAAATATTATTTTTAGTTTAAAATAACACAGAAAAGCACTTTTTATCAGGGAGGTGGCTATTTTTATGAGGTATGAGGTAATGACAGTTTTACTGACAACCCGATGTTTGGGAAAATTACAGATTTAAAAAAAATATTTTATTAAAATTTTCTAAAAACGAAACGTTTCTAAAACAAATTAATTAATTTGTGAATATGTACTGAAAGTTTCATTAAAATCCAACAATATTGCTTCGTTAAACATCTTGAGCTTAACAAATTTAACAAAATATTGCAAAAACAATCATAAATATGAAGGCTGGTCGTTATTTTGAGAAGTAAGGGGGTATAAATGAAAAGATTTGAACTTGACAACTTTTTTCCATTTCGCTGAAATAATCATTAAACATTTCTATCTTCCCTTTTTTCTTCCATTCATTTTCTCATTGAAACCAAGTAGCGTCCTTGATATTATTTTTGTCTTATGCGATCAAAACGGAATAGTGCATGATTTATGAGTTATTAGCCGGAGGCGTTAAACACATCTATCATTTTTCACTTTTTGTCACAGAAATTATTTTTTAAAACGGAGGTGTTTTTTTTTTGTTAGATTCTGATAGATTTACTGATGGCTTATTGTTTGGCATTTTTAAGTAAAGGGTACATAACTGTAAAAATTACTTGACTAAATAACGTGAATGCGCTTTTTGTATACATTTTTAATTATGCAGTGTCTTAAAATATTCAGAAAATATTCTAAGTACTCTATTATTTCATTGAATTGTAGCTAATTTGTTTTTATAGTCTTACTTACGAAGACACTTGTTGAGAAAATATATCGCATAAATTTTAAATTTACGATAGATATCGCGGTTATTCATAATGTCGTATAAAGGCCCGTATATATATATATATATATATATATATATATATAGTGATGGTCCACGCATGGCTGAGATGCACAAGGCCGAAAGTAGGGTGCACTCAGTCAGGATGGAAATCACTACTCAGTTGTAATTGTTCTAGCGAGAAAAGCTTGCTAATCATTGTACTGCCTCGAGGTGCCCCCCCATATATATATATATATATATATATATATATATATATATATATATATATATATATATATATATATATTATATATTATGTAACATTAGAACATGCATAACCACTACAAAACTGTACATCTTGTTTCAACATTAATTTTTTTTTAACGTTTCATCAGGTCGGGAGTCACGATCGCGATTTCTCACCTGATAAAGCGTTAATTATTTTTAACGTTGAAACAAGATGTGCAGTTTTGTAGTGAGTATGTGCATGTTCTAATGTAAGACTTCATAATAAATAAATATTTACGGCTCTACTTTTTTACTGAGCCCTGTTTTAAATTAATGTTTGAACGCTGAAATCTTACTCTTCGATCTTTTACATTTCGATATATATATATATATATATATATATATATATATATATATATATATATATAGTTCTTCGTCAGAATTGAGCGCTCTGGCTGCTGGTCTAGTGTTTATATGCATCACGTATATAATACGTTAAAAGATTCTTTTACGCTGCCGTGCGCCGATAGCTTAGGCGTAGAGTCTTTGATTGATGCCAAATCAGTCTAGTTTCGGTCCCGGCTTGAAGCATTAGGATATCTGGCCACACTGACAAGCTGTGAGACAGCCAAACAGCCTGTCTGTGGATTTATATGATGCATAGTTTTATACACGCACAAAAAAGAATTAAAAATTATTTTTAAAATACTGGGATCGCTGAATTGTAGTAAGTTTTTCCTTTTGTGATTAGTGAATATATCTTTTACTTAATAAATAGAATAAATAAATAATATCAACTAACCGCTACAAATTATACATATGATTGAAAAAAATAATTAGAAAAAAAAATGTAAATAATTCTTGTGAATGTTTGCAGCACTTTATTCCTCCAAAAACAGAAATTCTATGACATTTCTTTACTTTCTACGTGTGTCCAGAGACACAGCCTCTTTAAGTGTGGATTATGAGTAGGTAAAGAACGGTAACTCTGCAAGGTTTTTTTTTCACCCGGTCTTCTTGACATTTCTCTTTATAACGAAAAAAAAAAAAAAAACAAACAAAAAACAAACATAAAAACAAACAAAACAAACTCCTGTTATTAATTCTGACTGATGCTTTTAAAATGAAATTAATAACAGGCATTCACTTTTAACTGGCCCTCGTAATATGAAATAAAATTAATCAAAAAACAAAAGGAAATCGTCATAATAATCAAAAACGCTTACTGTTCAGTACTTTTGTTCCTGTGAGATTTCAAAATTATAAATAAATTCATAAACAAGCGAGCAGTAATATTCCACCATTTCATCCAGAGCCGGCGCCTCTCACCCCCAGAACTCCCGACTATGGGGAGGGGGCGTTTTGGGGGGGGGGGCGTTGTGGCCTCTACCATTTTTTTTTCAACTCTATTTTATGGCCATCCACCATTTTTTAAAATTATTTTTAAGACTGACGTTACATTGTCAGTCATCAACTAATAATATACATCGTGTATATGCATGGCCGGGGCAGTGCGTTACTACGAAGGACCCCCCCCCCCGCACCGCCGAGATTGGAGCCCCAAAAGGTCTAGTTTCAGCAGCATTTTTTTTTTGGTACTTTTTACCTTTTTTTCTACCTAAGTTATATTGTCAACTATCAACTATAATAATCGACTTACTACCCCGAACCAGTGTGGGAGCGCCATGCTTACTGGGGAGGGAGGCAGAAGTGCTTATTTCAGTACCGTTTATTTTTTTAAATTGTAATTTTATTTCGGAACAGTACATTTAAATCAATTACGAGGGGAATATATATATATATATATATATATATTATTAAAGACATATTTTTATGTTTAACGTTGTTATTTTATAGATACAAGTATTTAAGCAAATGCTCTGTTTATGATAAACAGTATTAAATAACATTTACCGGCCTGAATGTCGAGAAATTTTCATAGAAAATTTTTGTTCTTTTCTTGTAAATTTCTCGGACATTCAGGCCGGTAAATCATAAAATATGTTTTTTAAAAAATAAATTGTCGGACCTTGTCCATTTCTATAATATATATATATATATATATATATATATATATATATATATATCGGTAAAATTTTTTATTTCGAGATCATTCACTAAGAAGGATCATTGATTTGTTTTTTTTTACTAATAGTATTACAAGAAGTCTATGGCTAGTAATAAAAATAAAAATTCTAGTCCCTACTTTTTATATTTCTAGAGAGATAAAACCAAGAAAATGATTGCTTAAAAAATAAATTTTTTAAAGATTTCAACATATGAAAAATTTACTCGAAAACTGAAATACTGTTTTTAAAATAAAATATTTAAGAAAATCCCGTTTGTGTTGTGTTGGAATCTTTTGTAAAACTTTTTTTTTTCAGCAGAGATGTGTCGGCGATTAATCGTTATGGAAATGTAAAAATTTGCGATTTAAACATTTTTTTCGAGTAAAATTTAGTCATCAAAATATTGGTGATTATTACAAAAAGAATAACATTTTCTCAGATACTTTTATAAATAAAAACCTATTCATTATAAAAGTAAATAACCGATCATTATGTACTGAAATTTTCATTTAAATTGGATAATCCTCTGATTTTTGGTAATTTAAAAAAAGCGCTGCTCTTCCCCCAATTTTCATTCGAGGGTTTGTGGACCCAAGATTGGGAAACTTTGAAATTGAAATGTAATAGAGGGGGTGCGTACCAAAGCTTCGGGGTGGGGGGTCCAAGACCCTAGCGCCGGCTCTGATTACATCTATTTTGAAAAGGACTAATAAACACACGCTCGCGCACAGACACACACACTGAGAAAAAAAGAGGGGAAATAAATACACACAGACGAAATATATATACAGTTACACATAAACACACACGTAGAGACACCCACATATATGCCAACAAATACACGCGCCTATACTCATGCATAGAAGTACACACATATACAACCACACATAAGCAAAAGCACACGCCCGCAGACGCAAACGCACAGATAAAACTAGCGTAATCAAATAGGAAACACACACATAGAACCAAACATACTGACACTAACGCAGAAATATATACATATTGATACACACATGCATAGATGCACACAGAAAACACATACAACCGACACCATTACACATACAAGCACAAACCTGCACGTACAGTCAAACACACACTTAGATACGCATCGACAGAAACACATATGTACGAGGTCTATCGCGAAAATATATTAGATATTAACAAAATAAATAAAAACAAAATAGACGACGAAGGAATATGGCGCCTTAGTCCGCTTCAAACTATCTACCTTTGTATTTGATCACTTATTTTAGCGTTCTTTCATCAATTTCTCTGTGTCGTTCTCCTTAATCAGGCACCCTGGGTAAGACGATAAACTACATCCAACAGCAAGGAGGAATTGAGGAGCGTGGAACCACCTCTTAATTGTTAATGCTCCCAAGTCCACCCTGACCCGGTGTGGTAGCACCTTTTAGGGTCCTAGCTATGGGCAAATAGTTAATCCACAAACTGAGTTAAAATCACTATGAAAGCAATAAATTTTTGAAAAAAAAATATTAACAGCAATACATTTTTGAAAAAAAATATTACCAGCAATATATTTTTGAAAAAAAAATATTACCAGCTATATATTTTTGAAAAAAATATTGCCAGCAGTACATCTCTGAAGGAAAAATATTACCAGAAATAAAAATTCTGTCGGTATTAAGCAACCAAATCAAACCAAACCAAAATTAATCAGTATTCAAGGACAATTTTAAACCTTTAAATCACAATATTAGCTACCCAGATAAGCCGCTTGAACTTTTCTAATTTATTAAATATAAAATATTAGAATTGATATTTATTTTATTAAGTAGATAAACGATAATTTGGGATATTTGTTTTGCGTAGAGCAAACTATGACAAGTGTTTATACAAAGATAAATACATAAAAAGAAAAAAAAATATATAGAGAGAGTAATTGCTCATGGTCAAAATGTAATTGGTAAAATAAACAATAACTATTGCAATAAACAATAACAACAAAAAAAGAAAAGAACAAGGCAAAAAATAATATTAAGAAAGCAAACAATACATTCAATGTAAAGCAAAGGCAAAGACTTCACAAACTAAGGATAATGACAAGCGTTCTGGCTTCAAGACAAGAAAAACTGAACTCAACACCAAGAAGTAATAAAGTGTGTTTCATTAAGAGGGATTATATATAAGGGTGTTTCCTTAAGGCGGATCAAAGTCATCAGGAAATAAATCAGTTTTACTGGTGAAAATTTATTTATTTCTCTATTGGGCCATGTTATTTAAGTCATGAGAATTTTGTGTGAAAAATAATATCACCCAAATGTCCAAAGAAAAAGAAAAAAAAAAAAAAAGACGCTTCAGCTTAATTGACATTAAAATCGGTCCAAGTTATTGGAACACCATTTACTTACGTTATCTACATTATTCGGACTGTTATCCTCATTTTCATTGTCATATTCACAACGTTTCGGCCCTTGTACGCTCCGACCGTCTTCAGGTGATTAGAATTTCGAAGTTACTGGAACATCCTTTATAATCTTATTGGTTATAAACAAAAAAAAAACAGTATGTATTTGTGTTTTACCTATAAATTGCTGAGGAGGCAGTATTTTACAGATATTCCTTTAGGGATTTATCCTCCAACCCTCATTTCATAATATATTTTAATACATTTTTGTAAGAAAATACCAAAAAGATAAAAGGGGCAATTTGTACATATTATGAATGTTTTATGTCATGGGGTGTTTTTATGAGTAGTAGGATCCCTGTGAATATGCGATATTGTCGTATATGTTGGACTGAATGGAGGAGGATGAATTCTGGCGGTGAGTGTAGAAATTGTTAGAGTGAATAGGTTATGAATCAGATTAACTAGGATTAGGATAGTTAGTAAGGCCCAGCCTTTCTCCACTTCTGCTTCGGCCTAGTTCACACACACACACACACACACACACACACACACACACACACACACACACACACACACACATATATATATATATTTATGTAACAGAAATCCAAATTTACCTCATTCGAACACCTATTTCAACAAACAAGTCGTTGGCATTGTCAACTCAGATGCATGAAAGAATAAATTTATTCATTCACACATCTGGTTGGTTGAAATAGTTATTCGAATGAGGTAAATTTAGATTTCTGTTCTATGTAATATATATATATATATATATATATATATATATATATATATATATATATATTAATTATATTCTTTGTTATAATAAATATATTGAATTCTTTTGTGGATCAGTTTTAATATTTTATATTATCAGGGTTCACGTGGATTATATACTAACGGATTAGTTATCTTTACTACATATATATATATATATATATATATATATATATATATATATATATATATATATATATATATATATATAACAGCATGCCCCGGCGTTGGCCGTGCTTGATTCAAAAATCGTACGACTCAATACAGCAATTGCTATCACTTGACTTAAAATATTTTTGCCCTTCCTTGCCTTTAAAGGAGTGCCCTTTGCCGCGCTGATGTTGCACACTGCGACTTTTTTCTAAGCTTTATACTAAACATTAAATCTGTTACGAAAAAGAACTAAACAAAATGAACACAAAACGATCAGCTTTAAAAAAAGGACTCGTAACTGGAAAAACCGAATGAAAAAAGAATGTTAACAACAAATACTTTTTCACACCTAACCCAGTTCTGCGGAATCAGAATCAACGTTGAGTTTAAGGAAGCGAATGAGCCAATTGGAGTAAAGTGCCATGCAGATTTAAATTTTTCCTACTTGTGACGAATGCCGCTATCGATTTTTTTTGCATGCTAGCATGCTAGTTAACATTCGTGTCAGTCAGCAGTTGGCTCTCACGCTGGCCAATAGAATCTTCCTGCCTATTCGTAGGCTCTCACTATGGCCATTAGAAAATGGCCGCAAACTGCAAGAAAACTGCCGTAGAAGCATGAAAAAATCGATTATTTCCACTATCGATGGGAGTTGGGAAATGCAAAGTCGGTCGTGGCCTTCCCGCTAACTTGGAGGATGTGCATGTAAATTTTGGTGCAAATCCGTCGAAAATTGCGGCCCGTGCATTCGTTACACGCACATCCTGCCTTTTATATATATATATATATATATATATATATATATATTAGGTTTCATTGTAAAATACATCCCTACCCTTACCAAATTGTAGCTAATAACTTATACAATGATACTGACATAAGGAAAATCTAGACATCCTTGTTCAATTCAAGTAGAATATTCTATAACCATGGAAACGTGATTTTAGCTGTGTCTTTAAAACCCGGTAATTTTTAAAAGTTACTCCAAAATTCGCTTGAAGATGAAATGGAACTAATGCTTTTAATTTAATTGCAAAATTAAATTCGGGGTTTTTAGCTTCTATTTTTGAAACATGGTTGGAACTGTGTAGCGAAAAAAAACCATATTTTAAATCAATTAATAATATATATATATATATATATACACACACACACCTCATACTTATACACATAGACACGCACACATATTGTATATTTATAATTGTATCTCATATCATCGAGCACTGTATTTATAATACCCGTGTAAAAATATATATATTGGTTCACCACTGCTGTGGCCTGGTATTGAACTCACAACTCTTTGGATCTAACCAACGCCTTTATACGCTGTGCCATGTATCCTTGAGGGAATCTGTCTATGACTTATAAATTTAATGTTCCAGTAACGTTTTTTTGACATCAAAATTTATGGCGGAATGAATTCCGTCGCTATGCTCTTTTTCTCGCAGACAATGGCCAACTGACCCAACTATACTGTGCTGTTGACAAAATAAAAAACAGACAACGCGCATGCGCGAAATTAAAAGATATACAATTGCGCCAATTTACTCATCGCACCATATATATATATATATATATGTATATGTATGTATGTATGTATGTATCTCCAAAGATTCAATAAGAAATGAGTATATATGATGAAAAAATTCCCTCAAACTTAATAAAAAAATGTTTTATCATCAAAATCGTTATGTTATTATTAAAAGGAAAGACCAAAGTATTTTTTAACTATATTTATAATCATTTATAGAACCTTCAAAATTTTGGCAGTAATTTTCGTTTCTTTTTACGTGACCATAAATTAGTTTAGGAAATTTTAGCGTCTTTTTTTTTGCTGTAAAAAAACATTGATTTGTAAATTCTTGCAAAAATCAAAAAAATTGTCGGATTTTAATGAAACTTTCAGCATTTCTTTAAAAATGAATGAAATTATTTTTTTAAAAAAATTCTTCTTTTTAGAGAATCTTTTTAAAAATATCATTTTTTACATCTGTTACCCACTACTTATTTAATTTTATGAAATTTCGAGTTTTTTTTTTATAGGGCCTATTAGTTATGAGGACGAGTTATCGGAGAATTTATAGCATTAATTTTTTTGATCAAACAGGCCACCCAGAGAAAATCAGTTCAGAATCGTAACATAAAGAATGCATTTAAAACTAAGTATTTAATCAGAGATGTTTTAATGGCTTTTATGCATAAAATATGTTATGCAGACTATTGATGAATAATAAATTGTTACAAGAATTGTTTGTAATGACAGAAGTACGCAGGTGTAGGCTTGTAGGCTTTATTCACTTAAGATTACAAGGTTCGTGTATACTGTCCTTTTATAGTCCCAATAAATAAAAATAGATCTGTCAAAGAAGAGAGTAACAAAACAAGGGGAGAGCACTCTTGACTATTCATAACAACTAGTGTCTAGAAACTAGACATAGATTCGGTTTAAACTAGAGTCAAAAGGGTAGAAAAAGTTCCGATTTGCTGTCGGATGTAGTTTATTGTCATACCGAAGACTAGTAGACATTGGTCAGGTTGGTCTAGTTTAAACGAGAGTTAAAAATGTAAATATAGGTCCGATTGATACTCGTATCAAAGAACTTGACAAATGTTCGATTTACACTAGTGTAATGACAAAAGTACGCACGCTTTGAGAATGCTTTATTCAACTGAGAATGCAAAGAAACGAAGGGAGATCACTGTTGATTATTCATAACATTGTTATTTTTTAAAATGTTTAATTATTATAATGCATAAACTTTTAAATCTTTTAAAATTCTTTATTATTTTAAATAGGTCAAGTGATATTGTTAATTATTAAAACTTTATTTACTAATTATATTTATCTTTAGTAAATATAGCTTTTATTAATTAATAATTAGTAAACAATTTACTACAATTTTGCAACCCCAGTATTTTAAAAATAATTTTGAATTTCCTTTTGTATTGTGCCAATTTTTGTTTAGGTATGGATGTTCATACATTATCAGTAAAACGTCATGTACTTTAAGGTTTGTTGTCCCTTAAGGGAAAGCTACTCCGAGAATTTTTAATTTATGTCACTTCTGTTCCTCTTTACTTAAGTTTTATAAACGTCAGGCCGCCAATAAATAATTTAGTACATCAGAAAACATATCATCATGGTTAAGAAATCTGTTTTTACTACGTTTTATGACAAAAGTAAGTTTGTTTAAAATTCAACTTTAAATTTGCTAATTTCCTTCGATTAACATTTCAGAGAAATATATCTAATTTTGGCTTCTGAAACAGAGAGCTAACAGATTTTTACAAATGTTTCAAAATGGAGGAACTTTTCGATTTTGCTGGAAACAAATATGAAAATACGAGTTCAATTAATGATTAAATATTAATTTAAATTCTGTTTGAGATACACCAAAGTATTTTGCTTATTGGAAATAATAAATTGAATCTTTTAGCTTTGAATTAAAATTAAAAGGACAGCTTCAGGAAAGACTTTTTATTTTGCAAAATGAATTTTAAACACTAGGCATCGCTTCTCTTTGGAAGTACTTATCTATCTATCTATCTATCTATCTATCTATCTATCTATCTATCTAATTCTGTTAATTTCTTTCTATCTATCTATCTATCTATCTCAGTCTATTCCCATTTAACTCATTCTGTTACTTTCGATCTATCTATCTATCTATCTATCTATCTATCTATCTATCTATCTATCTATCTATCTATCTATCTATCTATCTCATTCTGTTAATTTCTATCTGTCGGTCTGTCTGTCTATCTATCTATCTATTAATTTAAAATTTTAATTTGAAATTAATTCTAAATTTTAAATATCTTTCAAGAAGAAGTAGGTCTTCTATTGCATTCTCTTGAGTAGATAAATAATTTTCTCCGTAAGGGAAACAGTGAAGGTTTGTAAGGAAAATTAATAATTTTGCTCTCTCTCTCTGACACAGAGCTCTCGTTGGATCTATATTCGCTTGGAAATTTCATACAAATTACCATTTTTTATTATTATTATTAGTAGTATATATATATATATATATTTCTGTAGTTCACTGCTACCAACAAGCAGAAATATTTCTTCTCCTGATGATGGCCATTTTTGCCGAAATTTGTCGAGGATTCTAAATGAAATAATAATAAAAAAACGAAAGAACATTAAACTACAACACAGTGTGTCTGAAGATTTTAATTTTTTAATATTTTTTAATATTTTTTATTGTTTCAATATATATATATATATATATATATGATAGTTATTAGTAGTAAATATATATATATATATATATATATATATATATATATATATATATATATATATATATATGTGTCATTCGAGACAGTACTGTTTCACTGTATCACAGCTCCTCGGTGCGACTAGACATCCGAATACTTCAAGCACGGATCGAAACCCAACCGATCAGTCAGAGTTTCTACCACTGAGCTATCTTCATTCAACAGAGAGAAACAACTAAATCTAGCGTATTGTTTTTACGAATGTAAACAAATGCCAATCAGCCAGAGTGCTCCAATTCATTTTACTGGCAAGCTTTGCATTTACGCAAGTGCCTGTTGTTTATAGAATTAGCTTATCACTCAACAGTGCTCAAGTGAAATGTATTTTCAAGAGCTATATATATATATATATATATATATATATATATATGTGTGTGTGTGTGTGTAAAAGTTTCAGGTAGAGTATATCTGTAAAAAGACGATATAAATCAAGACAAAAGGAAAAATTATCTTAGCCGATGCGTTTCCCGATCCTTGTACACATAGAAATAAATTCAACCATAACTTTGATCTAAAGAAATCCACACTTATTAAAAAAGAAAGTAACTTACTTAGAGGGAAAATCCTTGAAAAGTTCGCTATCGAATCTTATCAAAATAAAAACCTTCGCCTTGGTTTTTTTCCATTCCTAAAAGAATTACTATTTTCCCAGGCTAATATACATGACTATAAATCTGTTGAAAAAAATAAAGGAAAACGGTTAGATTCCTAACCTTGTGTTATTAAAAATATATAACATTCCCAAAGCACAATAATTAAAAAAAAAAAAAAATCAAGAATATCTTTTACTCACTTTCGTTAATTAAACATTGAATTGTGTCAATTCGCGTCCTCCATAGCTTGCCTGACTTTTCGGCTAATCTGATGAATATTCATGAGTGTTCTTAAATTTAAAAATTTTAGAAAACCAATAACATTTTTGCTCGTGTATATAAATACTTGTTACAAAATAAAATTCTTGCATTTGGATTGATAAAGTATCTCAAAGGAGGGAACGCATCAGTTAAGATAAGTTTTCCTTTTGTCTTTATTCATATCTATCTATCTATCTATCTATCTATCTATCTATCTATCTATCTATCTCCGCCTGTTCAAATCTATCTATCTATCTATCTATCTATCTATCTATCTATCTATCTATCTATCTATCTATCTGTCTGACGATCGCCAGGGCATGAAACTCAGGGTCACAAACTCACATCATTACAACTAATATGTTAGCTTTCTCATCGGTATAGAGCGCTTTCCAATAAGTACCACATATATAATATATAAATAATATATACAGAAATTACACACGCACACACACACACACACACACACACACACACACACACACACACATATATATATATATTTGCTTGGATTGATGTGAGTTTGTCTGACGATCACAAAAACGTGAAACCCAGGGTCACAAACTCACATCTATCCAACCAAATATGTTAGCTCTATCTCTGATATTGAGCGCTTTCTAAAAAGTACCGCGCATATAATATATAAATAATTATATATATATGTTTATTTATATTTATATACACACATTTTCACACATATATATATATATATATATATATATATATATATATATATATATATATATATATATATATATATATATATAAATAAAATATCTATAAGAACACCGGATTTTATATCTTACTGTTCTTTTTTTTATTTATATATATATATATATATATATATATATATATATATATATATATATATATATATATATATATATATATATATATATATATATATGTGTGTGTGTGTGTGTGTGTAAATATATAGAAAAATAGGAAAGAACATGTTAGGTTAATAATCCGATGTTCTTTAGTATTTTGTTTTATTTAAAAAAAAAACAACTGTGCTCAATACATTGCTTCAGCCGTTTCCATAGTAATTAATATTACGAATGAACATGCTTATAAAGCTGCGTAAATTTCAAGATTAGTTATTCCAAAAATTCGCTTGAGGATCAAACAGGGCTTGATACTTTAATTCAAGTTTTTAGCTCCTGTTCTTGAAACATGGGAACTCTTATGTAGCGATGGAATCATTTTTTAAAAAAATATTCATATATATATATATATATATATATATATATATATATATATATATATATAGACTACACAATTAAAATACATGATTAGAAATTAACAACACCTAACCACCACTTTACCACTTTTGAAATGGCTAAAGAAGTGGCCAACAACGCTTCGAACTATGGACAATATGAAACATTTTTGTACTCCCCTCCTCCCACCAACCGGAAAAATGTAAGATCGCTGGAAAAAAAAATCCTTGCCTGTCATATCTAAGGAAAGTTGTTTAAAAGAAAGGTTGCTGTTCAAATATGCATTACTATCTATCTATCTATCTATCTATCTATCTATCTATACAAGTATAGGATTGGCTACTTTTGTAGTGATTTTATAACATATTTATGGTATAATTTTCGAATAATTGTATATATATATATATATATATATATATATATATATATATATATATATATATATATATATATTATAAAGAGAAAGCACAGTAAGCTATATAATCCGGTGTTCACTATTTACATTATTCGGACTACTGTCCTCATCTTTGTTGCCATATTTATTACATTATTAATGTAATAAATATGGAGACAAAGATGAGGATAATTGTCCGAATAATGTAAATAGTGTACATAATACCTCATCTCAGAAATATAGACGAATCTGGTATTGTTATTAATATTTTTATTTTTACAAAACAGTTCTCAGTCCAAATCTACAGAGCATAAATATTATAAATTTACTTATTTACAAATATGGTTTCATCGGTACACAGGAATTATCATGTTTGAAAAACAGAAGATAAAAACTTCAAATTCAGGCATAGAATTAAATTAAATTAAAGTCGCTAGTCATGTTCCATTATCAAGCGAATGTTGGAATTCGTGTGTTGCGATGGAACCATATTTTTAAATAAGTAAATATATATATATATATATATATATATATATTTGGTTGGATTGATGTGTTTGTCTGGCGATCGCAAAAACGTGAAACCAAGTGTCACAAACTCACATCAATCCAACCAAATATGTTAGCTCTATCTCTGATATTGAGCGCTTTCTAATAAGTACCGCGCACATAATATATAAATAATTATATATATATATTTATTTATATTTATATACATCCACTTTTCACTCACACACACACACACACACACACACACACACACACACACACACACACACACACACACATATATATATATATACATATATATGACTTCAAACATCATATGTGTGTTTATATATCTGTATATATGCATAATCGACTTTTATAGAAGTATATGATCGTGTGTATATTTAGTCACGCACACACCAACACAGGCGCACACACCAAAGGCACACACACACACATATATATATATATATATATATATATATATATATATATATATATATATATATATATATATATATATATATATATATATATATATATATATATACATACATATATATATATATATATATATAAATATATATATATATATATATATATATAAATATATATATATATATATATATATATATATATATATATATATATATATATATATATATATATATATATATATATATATGTGTGTGTGTGTGTGTGTGTGTGTGTGTGTGTGTGTGTATACATATCTGCATAGATGTATTCGACCCCAAACGAGCAGTAGAATAGGAGGAAGAGGAAGAGTTGAAAAAGAGAAAGGGCTAGTCAGAGCAGATTTCTATCAGTTTCTATCATGTTTCTCACTTAGCGATGAGATTGTGGACCGATTGCTTTGATGTCAGTGTTTATCAGCGATCGGTAGACTCTTAGTCGACTCTTTCGGTTGGGTTCACGCAACTGGAACCCAGCTTGCAGCCTGGGTTTCAAACAGAGGTCATAATTTGACACGCATCACTGTCTGGGGTCTGGACGTCCATATCGAACCGGGAGACTTGATTTATTGTACCTGCGGAGTATGTAAGCAAGAAGGAAATCTTAAATAAGATGGCAATAGAAAGAACACTTCCACTCAGAATCAGGAAAAGACAGCTGAATTTCTTTGGAAAATTACCGCATTTGCCAGCCGACTGGACGCTGATTTTTTCCAAAAAAAAATGCAGCTGAAAATGACCCTGCGTCCAATACAGCAGTATCATATGTAAGGGGTACAAGAAGACCACGAAAAAAGTGGGGTTCACCTGGAATCAGTGCACACGTAGAGCTTATGTCTGAAACTAAGACTCCTAGATGTGAACAAATATATCAATAAAAATATCCCTGAAACATTCACCCAGAAAAAAAGAAATTTATGGAATTGAACAATATTTTGTCGCTTATTTTTTAAAAATACCAGATTTTACAGAAATATTTGCTTTGATTGCTTGCTTTATGTGTGTTTTTATTGATATACAGTAGCTATCTTCACTATTTCAAAATAAATTTCGATACATAAAGTTTAAAATGAATTCTTAAAAATTCGATACATAAAGTTTAAAATGAATTCTTAAAAATGAAAAAAAAACATTCTTGAAGATTTCATTTTAGCTTTAATTGAAAGCTAAATAATCAAATTTATTATTTCCAGTAAGTAAAATATTCTGGTGTATTTCAGATAGAAATTATAAAGATTGGAATGTCAAATTTAATTTTGATTTCTTAAAATTTTCTTAAAAGCCGCTATTTTCTTAATTTAAAAAAAAATTGTAAACAAAACAAATTTATCGATTTTAAAATTCTTCCAATATATTTCTGACACGTTATTTGAGTAAAATTAGAAAATTTAAAGTTAAATTAATCTTATTTGAAATAAACATTACTTATAGCATAAAAAACGTAATATACAAGCATTTATTTAATCATTGGTCGTCCTTATCATAGCTTATCTGAGGCGATAATGATGGCCGATTGAGTGATGAAGCAATGACAGGTAGTATGGCTGGCTAGAATTGATATAAAATTTACGAAAACTAAGTGAATACATTTTTTTTTTGGATGAACAAATTTTCCAAAATTATCTAATAAGTTATTGACTTTTATTTACCTTTCTAAGATACTTTATGCAAAAAAAAAAAAAAAATACTAGAAAATTCTCTTAAATTAATTTCTCTGTGAAGAGACAAAACTCTTAGATCACGTGACCGCTTCATGATAATGTCGCGTTTAGACTTTCATAGATGAAAATAGGTAGCAAAATATTAAAAAAAATAAAAAATAAAAAAAATAATTTTAAAAATGGAATAGTATAACTACGTTTATTAATCTTTTCAATTTTGTATACGTAAATTCCGTTTCCACTTAATTACTATATCACATCCAGCAAATAGACCAATACAGAATTTTACACCATTTTAAACTATCATAAATTATTATAATTAAAATTAAAAAAAATTCTTGTAAAAATTCATTATTCATCGGAAAAATGTTATTTCTTCAGAAAATAATGTCCTTAATATAACTTTTTACAAAAGCAATTAAAAACCTTTTCTAATTAAATAGTGTCATGGTTTTGTTGCTTTCATTATTTTTCAATTCAGAGCAGATTTTCAGTAAGAATAGTGAAAGTTTGAAAAAAAAAAAAAAAAGATTAAGCGATTTAGATTCTCCAAGGAGTCCTACTTTTACCGAATAAAAAAAATAAGTTGGGGGTAACATGTGTAAAAAAAAAAAAATTACCAACATTTTCTAAAAAAATTTCAAAAATAATTTCATTCATTTGTGAATAGGTTCTAAAAACTTCATTAAAATCGGACAATTATTTGATTTTTACAAGAATTTCCAAATCAATGTGTTTTCAACGGAAAAAAGCCCCCAAAAGTCAATGTTATTATTATGCCACCGCAACGACGTAAACAAAACAAGATTTTAACTAAAATTTCGAACATTTTAGAAAGGATTAAAAAATTTCAAAATACTTTGGTCTTTCATCTTAATAATAACATAAACATTTTGACGATAATACTTTATTTTTTTTAGGTTTGTGACCCTTTTCATTACGCTATGCTGTTTTCCCGCGAAAAGGTGGAGATACCGAATATACAGTTATTGAAATTTGCTCTTCTGCATGTAGGTCATAAAACTTCATCTACCAACAAGTACCATATTTCTGTTGTTTTTGCCTCTTACCATATGTACCGGTGTCCACTGATGCCAGTAGATTTCTCTGTAGCTATTATGAGTTTATTGTATTGATTTTCTAAGCTTGGCCTAGATGTGGCACATGGCCGAAAGTATAAGACACCCGGTGAGGATCGAACTCACCATTCAGCTGTCACTGTTCCAACGAGACCAACTTGCTAACCATTACACCACGCCGAGGCGCCCTCATAAGTTCATTGTATGTGCAGATGCTGTTCCCTGAAAAACAACTAAAATAATTTTCAATAAATATCCTGCTAATTAAACCATACCTCAATACTATTAAAAAAAAAAAAACCACTAGTATAATTTGTGCTAACACTATTAGTGTTTCTTCATGGTTAGTGAGAAGGTCACATAAAGGAAAGTTTTTAATTTTGATTCTTTTGATTGAAATGTGTTCATTTTTCCCATATATATTCCATGCTAAAATCTGGCTGCGTCCGCCAATAGGCCGGCAAATACGGTATATTAATCAAAATTAATTATTTTTATTTTATTTATTTATTTTTTTACAGTGAGGTGTTGCCCTTTACAAGGTATGGGTGCCACTTGAGGTAAAAGGGTTAACATAAAAGGCAGTTTATGTGAACAGGAGAGGAAGACAACGGTTAGCACAAGCCTTGAATAGGTTAAGATTGTCGTGATCAGAGAAACATCCTCTTGGGAGTCGGTTCCACTGAGCAATGCTTCGTGGGATGAAGCTGTTCGAGTGGAACTTACTTCATTTACCAACAAGTATCATATTTTTGTTTCTGTTTCTTTTTTGCCTATTACCATATGTACCAGTGTTCACTGATATCAGTAGATTTCTTCGAAGCTATTATGGATTTACTGTATGTGCAGATATTGCTCCCTGAAAAAGAACTAAAATAATTTTCAATAAATGTACGATGAAATGAACTAAAATTTTTCTTTTCCCTAAAAAATACCCTGGTAATTAAACTTTATCTCACTTCTATTAAAAAAAAGTACCAGTTGTATAATTTTTGTTAATACTGTAAATGTTTCTTTATGGTTAGTGAGAAGGTCACATAAAGGCAAGGTTATCATTTTCATTTTTTGGGTTGTGATGTGTACATTTCTTTTCCCTAAATATTTCAAGTCAAAATATTTTTTCCTAAATATTTCAAGTCAAAATCTGGGTGTGTCCAACGTGTGGGTGCGTCGAATAGGCCGGCAAATAGGGTAATCCTTATGGGAGAATATTGAGGGCAAGAGGGACATTTCGACATCGTGTAATGATTAGCAAGCTTGTGTCGTTAAATCAATTAGGGATGATTAGTTAGCACGATCCTCACTGGGTGCCCCATATTTTTAGCAAGCTTGTCTCATTAGATCAATTAGGGGTGATTAATGAGCTCATTTCTCAGTGTGTGCCCCAGATTTTGGGCATTGAGTCACATCTAAGCTACGCTTAGAAGATCACCATACTGAGGGCAAGAGATATAGGGTAAGCCAACGAGTAGCTTACCCGACAAGCTTATATGAATGGAGAGCAGAATGAGTCGGAGAAAAACGACCAAGAGAAAGGAATCTGTGGAGAGCCAACGTTTTGGCAGATATTTACCAAATTTGGATTTTCTGGCAGAAGGACACAAGAGGTGAGAATAACAGAAGGATCAAAATTAGCAGCGGGTTCCTTGAACTGTTAATGGGACACTTTGTAAAGATGAAATTCATTAGTCCTTTCTTCGAGAAAGTTTGGTACCATCAAGTTTGGTCTAATACCTGAAGTATTTTCCATACTTCGAGAAATAACTGGCCACTACACGAGAAAGAAAGCGATAAATGATTTGACAGCAGGTTCATGAAAGCGAGAAGAAAGGACTAAAGCTCATTTGCAAGAAGACCAAATACGTGGTTATTAACAATAGGAACTCGTCAATATATAAATTACAAACTGGAGATACGAAAAACAATCAAGTAAAACAATTTAAATATCTGTGAAGTGTTTTAACAAAGGACGAAAAATGCGACACTGAAATCAGAACGTGCATTGTGATAGCAAAAGGTGCCTTCCAAAACCTAAGCAAAGTATGAAGAAAAAGAAAAATTTAATTAGAAACAAAGAAAAAAGTACTGAACTCTTATGAAATTTCGATCTTCCCTCTATGAGAGTGAATGCTGGACAATCTTCTTACAGATGAAGAAGAGACTTGAAGCAAGAGAAACAAAGAAAAGAGTACTGAACTGTTATGTAATATCAGTCCTCCTCTATGACAGCGAATGCTGAAACAAAGAAAAGTGTACGGAATGTGCGATTCTGAAATCGGAAGGCGTATTGGGATAGCCAAAGATGCCTTCCAAATGCTAAGCAGAATATTAAGAAACAAACAAAAAAACAATTGTTGAACTGTTACGTGATATCGGTCCTCCTATATGATATTGAATGCTGATCAATCTCCTCAAAGACAAAGAAGCGACTTGAAGCAAAAGAAATGTGGTTCTTCAGAATGATGCCGAGATTACCAAGGACCAAACTTGTGAGCAACGACGAAGTTTTAGAGAAAATGGAAAGAAAAAGAAAACGTATACTTAAGTGACAGTTGAAATTTCTTGGACACATAATGAGTAAAGAGGGCTTGGAAAAATTGATACTCACACGACAGATTAGAGGCAAGAGGGACAGAGGAAAACAATGTAACATCTACCTGGATGGCGGGACAGGGTTTAGGCGAGATGACAACATGGCAAAATTTATTAAGAGCTACAAAGAACAGGAAATTGTAGAGAGATCTGAAAGGACACGGAACAATGGAGAAGAAGAAATACACAAATATAGAAAGGTATGTAAGACAAGGAGGTGTCTTCTCGCCGGGTTTATTCAACCTATACGACTAACAGAATTAGAAGTCCTACCAGGATTCATTAATGGCAGCCACAGTCTTAGCAACATGAGATATGCAGATGACACAGCATTGATAGCAGACACAGAAAGGAAAATACAATGACTTCTACAGGAATTAGAGATGGAAATCGAGAAGAAAGGATTAAATATCAATTGCAAGAAGATAGAATGCGTGATTGTTAACAAAAGGAACAGCCTAACATTGAAATTACATATTGGAGATATCCAAATTAAGCAAGTACAACAATTAAGTTTAAGTATCCGTAAAGTGTTTTAACAGAGAAGTGACACTGAAATCCGATGGCGCATTGAGCTAGCGAAAGATGCCTTCCAAAAGCTAAGCAAAGTATGAAGAAACATGAAAATTTCAGTATCTATATCTCTTTCAGTGTCTATATCTCTGAGATGAGGTAATATGATTATTTACATTACTTACATTATTCAGACAATTATCCTCATCTTCATTGCCATATTCTCAATGTTTCGGTCGCTGTATTCTTCGGCCTCTATGTCTATGTCGCTCTATATATCTGCATATATCTCTGAGATGAGGTATTATGATTATTTACATTATTCGGACTGTTATCCTCGTCTTCATTGCCATATTCACAACGTTTCGGCCGTTGTACACTCCGGCCTTTATGTCTATGTCTCGCTATATATCTGTCTATATCTCTGAGATGAGGTATTATGATTACTTACATTATTTACATTATTCGAACTGTTATCCTCATCTTCACTGCCATAATCACAACGCAAAGTACATAACTGGAAAATACGAAAACTTAAGAAATCAGCACATATTCTGAACCACAAAAATCTCCTGAGCCGACTAAGCATAGAAATGAATACATTATGGGAAGCAGTAATAAAGAGTGCTAGAGAAAAGCAATGAATTATAACACAAAAATACAATATAAGCTCTGGTAAAAAAATAATCTATAATAATAACGGAAAAACTCTAATATGAACACTAGTAAAATTGGTTGCTGAGACATTAGATTTTTTAAGTCCCAGAAATTCTTACACAAATGTTCCCAAGTAAACATGGCCCAGTGTATAAAGACGTTGGTTAGATCCAGTGACTAGACCCAAAGAGTTCAATACCACGCCACAGTAGTGGTAAACCAAAACCTTGGAGAGTTGAGTTTAAGGGAAATAACTGAAACATCCAGAAGAGGCATGACGTATTTTACACCTGAACAACAGTTTAGAAAATATCACCAGAAATATTATAAAAACAACAAGAATGAAGATCTCTCTATATCTCGGTGATGAGGGATTATGATTATTTACATTATTCGGACTGTTATCCTTATCTTCATTGCCATATTCACAACGTTTCGGCCGTTGTAAGCTCTGGCCTTTATGTCTATGTCTCTCTATATATCTGTCTATATCTCTGAGATGAGGTATTATGATTACTTGCATTATTTCCATTATTCGGACTGTTATCCTCATCTTCATTGTCATATTCATAACGTTTCGGCCGTTGTACGCTCCGGCCTTTATGTCTATGTCTATCTATATATCTGTCTATATCGCTGAGATGCATTATTCAGACTGTTATTATCATCTTCATTGCCATATTCACAACGTTTCGGCCTTCTTCAAGTGACACATGGCCCAGTGGTTAAAGACGTTGGTTAGATCCAGTGGCTAAACCCAAATTGTGAGTTGTGAGTTCAGCCTGGTATTGAACCGAAACACTTGGAGAGTTGAGTTAAAGGGAAATAACTGAGACATCTGAAAGAGGCATGGCACGCGGAACTAGAACGGTGGACGAATTAAAGGGTCCAGGTCACTCTGAAGAAGGCCGAAACGTTGTGAATATGACATTGAAGATGAGGATAACAGTCCGAATAATGTAAATAAGGAAAGATTTCAATAAGAATGCTGAGCTGTTATGTAATATCCGTTCTCCTGTACGACAGCGAATAGTGAAACTTTCCTCACATGATGAAGATGAGACTTGAAGTAATAGAAACGTAATTCTACAGATGGATTCTGAGAATATCATGGACGTTGCACGTGATTTTTTAAAAGAAGTATTAAGGAAAATATAAGCAATAACGCCACATATACTCAAAACCAGAAAAAAGACAATTTCTAGACTATGTAATGAGGAAAGAGGGCCTGGAGAATTTGACACTAACAAGACAGATTAAAGGCAAGAAGAGCGAAAGGAAACAGCGATTAACTTACCTAACGAACGTGTAAATTTCTAGCCTATGCAATGAGGAAAGAGGGCCTGGAGAATTTGACACTCACAGGACATATTGGATTCTAGCTTCATATAGAGTAACAGTGAGTAATCTACTTTGGATTTGATTTGGGATTTGGGGGCTAAGCCTCCTCCTCCCTTATATTTTTGAAATAGAAATGAGGCTATATTTTTTGCTTCTTTAAAAAGAAATAACTATTTAAAACTTCATTTATTTAAAGTTTTTTCGTATCTATCTATCTATCTATCTATCTATCTATCTATCTATCTATTTGGCCGATTTTAGCAATAAAAAAAATCAAATCTCTTTCTAATCAATTTGAATTTGGTTTGAAATACAACAAATTATTTTGCTTAGCTTGAAATTAAAACTAAAAAAAAAATTCCAAAAAATATTTTTTTCTTATTTTTAGAAATGTAATTTAAACTTAAGGTATCGTTTTTTTCTTTTACATAATTAGAAATATTTAAAAAAAAAATTTCTTTGTTTTTATTGGTAGGCTCGTTTCGTTTCGTTTTATTGTTGAATATTCTACATTGATCCCCGATCCTTTTTGTCAAGGATTGATCAAAAAGCCGACCACTTAAAGGTCTTACACCATCTTTTTCTTTTCTGAGAGAATTTTCAACGTGTCTCTGTTAATGGATGATAGAATTAAATTTTGTACGAATAAGACATTATTTAAATAATCAACAGACATTTTGTCTCTTTCAAAGGTTGGAACCCTATCTATCTATCTATCTATCTATCTATCTATCTATCTATCTATCTATCTATCTATCTATCTATCTATCTATCTATCTCAGTATGTTCATATCTATATATCTATCTATCTATGAAAAATTCGGTAATTTGGACAAAGTAGGAAAATTTGGTAGCTATGAAATAAAAGTTAATTGAAAATTGATTTCAAGGTTGTTCTAGAGTGGGGATTTTTTTTGCGGGGGGTTAAGCACCCCCCCTATATTTTTGAAATAGAAATGAGGTTATATAGTTTTTGCTTCTTTAAAAAGAAATATCTAAAACTTTATTTATTTACTATTTCTTTATTAAATTAATAATTTAAAAAGGAGATACAAGAACTGAGATAAATCGATTTTATTTGCTTGAAAACAATAGAGTATATTAATTAAATAGATATTTATTTAAAAAAATATTTATTTAAAAATATTGGAGTGGTGGCTTAGCCCTCTAAACTCCCCCATCCAGGATGTACGGCCTTGGTATTGTTGCAGTGGGGTTTCATCTGAACTGGAACCCATGATTTTTTTTAGTTAATACTTATTTAAACGTGTGGGTGGGGGATAGCCGCCCTTCAGAAAGTACGGCCCTGGAATTGTTTCAGTGGGGTTTTATCTGGACCCCACGATTTTCAGTTATTTAAAAATATAGGAGTGGGGCGGGTTACTTAGTCCCCAAATCCTCCCTCCACAACGAAGATCAAATTTCAGTCGACTTTTATTCTATACTTACCGAATTTTCCTTCCATGTCAATATTACCGAATTTTACTTCCATGTCAATATTACCGAATTTTCCGTTAACGAATTTTCCTAAATTCAAAAAACAACCTAGACGATTAAATATCTATTCAAGGGTACCATTTTTAAAATAGCTAAAAAATAAATTTTTTATAATCTACTTATCTATCTATCTCAATCTGATTATTTATTTATATCTATCTATCTATCTATCTATCTATCTATCTATTTCAGTTTGGTCATATCTATCTATCTCAATCTGATTATATCTATCTATCTATCTATCTATCTATCTATCTATCTATCTATTTATTTCAGTTTGTTCATATCTATTTATCTATCTATATCAGTATGTTCATATCTATATATCTATCTATCTATGGAAATTTCAGTAATTTTGACAAGGTAGGAAAATTTAGTAACTATGAAATAAAAGTCAATTGAAAATTGATTTTCGCGCCGTTCTGGAGGGGAGATTTGGGATTTAGCGGGGATAAGCCCCCTCCCCTATATTTTTGAAATAGCAGGTATCAACGATACTTTGTTATGAAAATTTCTTTAAAAGTCCCAATAATAATTATATTAATTCACCACCGTCAATAGACGAGAATGAGCAAGGAAAGTTGCTTCTTTGTGTGGTGCCAGAAAGTATTTCTCACCCGAGTCCATCCTTCATGTCTATAAATCAACCATTCGCCCTTGCATGGAGTATTGCTGTTATATATGGTCTGGAGTCCCCACTGTTCGTCTTAGGGTCCTCGACAAAATCCAGAGACTGATATGGAACGTCTTTGGCACTGATTTGGCATCTCGTCTACAGTCGCTCTCTCACAGACGTGCCGTCGACTCCCTCTGTCTTTTCTAAAAATATTTTCACGGTAACTGCTTCGATGAGCTATTTTCGCTAGTTCCCAAAACTGCATGAATTTAAACGTGCTACTAGGTCAGCATCTCAGTTCCACCCGTTCATAGTCGAAACGGTTAAATATAGCCGTCTCTTCTACTCCAATAGCTTCATGTCTCGCACTTTCCGTCTGTGGAACTTTTTCTTCTTACTTGCTTCCCTGCTAACCATAATCTCCAACTATTCAAATGCAATGTCAATCGATATCTCCAGGTGACTTGTTCTATTCACCGTCCTTCTCCCCAGCCTTTCCTCTTTCACGCCTTTTTACTCTTGCTCCCACTTTCTGTAACACCTTGCGTGCTAGTGGCACTTCCGTCTTGCTTGGGGTGAAAAAAGTAAAGTTCATATGGTCTACAACGATCTTGACTGACAAGCGTTTGGAGAGCAATCGCCCTGTTTTCATACTTGGACAAAAGATGAGTCATGGATGGATCCTGGTAGACGTCGCGGTATTTTGGGATAAGAACATCGGAAGGAAACGGTGCAGCATGCAAAAGAACAGAGACCAGGCGGTAGTAATCAGAGACATATACCAAGCAGAAGCTCACGTTGTCCCTTTTATGGTTGGCACACGCAGGACTATTTTCAGTATTCTTTCAACTACGTCCGTGGTCTTGGGGATACCTTGAATCATTGGAAGCGTGCAGGTGGCAGCATTACTTGGTATAGCTTATGTGCTAAAGAAAGTGTTGTGTTTCTAATCTATGGTTAGAATCTGAGATATGATCATCATCATCCAGCTCAAGTATTTAAGAGCCAGGGTGGATCTCAAATAATAATAATAATCTTCATGGCCAATACTCTGCGCGTACCAAAAAAGCTGACGTAGACAAAACCCGTACCCATCAGTGGCTACGTTGTGCAGGGTTGAAAGCTGAAACTGAAGGTTTTATCCTAGCTGCACAGGACCAATACTTGTTAACTAGAAATTATCAAGCACATATAATAAAATATAGTGTCAGCCCAAAATACTGATTCTGTGATAAATATCCAGAAACAATTGATCATCTTGTATCAGGTTGAACGATATTGGCACACACTGAATATAAATCCCGGCATGACAGGGTGGGCCAATATATGCACTGGAAAATTTGCAACTTCTACGGGAAGGAAACTGAAAGAAACTGGTATGAACACCACCCAGACCCGCTTACGGAGATAGGACCTGTTACAATTCTATGGGACTACACAATACGCACTGACAGAACAATCAAAGCCAACCGCTCAGATATTGTTATTAAAGACCACAAACAAAACCAGTGCCCCCTTATTGATATAGCAGTCCCTACAGACTGCAATGTATCTTTGAAAAAAAAAAAACTGTCAAAATACTAGGACCTTGAAATCGAAATCTCAAATATGTGGCACATGGGAACATCAACAATCGCTGTTGTAGTTGGAGCCCTCGGATTGGTTGGAAAAGATTCCAGTAGACTAATTGAAGAGATTCCTGGAAGCCCATGCCTCAAAAAAATACAAATAAATTGTTCTCACAAGTACAGCCCACACTTTACGAAGAGCTTTATCTATGTAAATTTTTTTTTGTCAGTGGAAAGTGTCATGATGCCATTTCTAACCTTAGGTCCCCGTGTGTCAGGCCTGACGATTGCATCTAGCATGAAACAGACTGTCGCCTCTAAATGTTAACTTCTATGTTCACTTTTATATTTACATACGCCGTATCTCTAATATTGAGCGCTTTATCCATAAATATAGCACACCTTAAGACTATATTTCTTCACCCCCCCCACACACACACACATATATATATATATATATATATATATATATATATATATATATATATATATATATATAATTGTGTATTTGGGCAGCAATTCCATTTTTTATACAAGTTTAGTTAAAAACGACTGACAAGCCCCTGCACTTAAGTTTTTATTTAATTTTTTATTTTTTGTTATAGTTTTTTCTTTTCTTGACATAAAATATAGTTATATCCAGAGAAGAAAGCTCCCCATTGTTCATCTTCTTCTTCTTATTATTATTATTATTATTATTAGTAGTTAGTAGTAGTAATATTAGTATTAGTAGTAGATAATATTATTATTAATAGCAGCAGTATTATTAGTTGGAACAATATTATTAGTAATATTATTATTAGTATTATTAATATCAGTAGTAATATTAGTAGTAGCAGTATTATTATTATTAGTAATATTATTATTATTAGTAGTAATAACAATATTATTAGTAGTAGCAGTAGTAATATTATTATTATTAGTTGTAGTAGGAATATAATAATAATTATTATTATTAGCAGTTATAGTAATATAATTATTACAATTATTATTAGTAGTAGTAGTAGTAGTAGTAGTAGCATTATTAATATTAGTAATATTATTATTAATAGTAATAACAATATTATTAGTATTAGCAGTAGTAATATTATTATTATTAGTAGTAGCAATATTATTAGTAGTAACAATATTATTATTATTATTATTAGTAGTAGTAGTAGTAGTAATAGCATTATTAATATTAGTAATATTATTATTAATAGTAATAACACTATTATTAGTATTAGCAGTAGTAATATTATTATTAGTAGTAGTAGCAATAAATTAATTATTATTATTAGCACATATAGTAATATAATAATAATAATAATAATAATAATTATTATTATTATTATTATTATTATTAGTAGTAGTAGTAGTGGTAATAGTAGTAATAACCCTTAAAATACATGAAATTAATTCTACTAAGATCCCACCTCGGTGGAATGAAGAAAATAACAGGAGAGTTCCATAACTTTTATAAAAACTGTCCGATTAATTCTTTTCAGTAACTAATCAATTAAGGGAATATTTCAAGATGAACATGATGACCGCCATATTTAAACACGTTTCAATTGCATTCCATTCACGCTGATTGCGTTTCAGTCGCTTTGACGCATTGATTACGAGCAGAATCTTTTTTCTCAAAACAAGTAAAAAAAACTTGTATTTTTAAAAAAATAATTTTATACTTGTATGCAATTTTTAAAGATAACCTGAATGAGTGTGACCTTCTATTGAAATATTGTTAAAATGTCTTTTGTTTTGTTTTGTTTTATTTTCCTTTTCTCTCTAAGTATTGCATTACTAATAGTAGTATTAATATTATTACTATCTTTAACATTATTTATATTTATTATTATTATTATTATTAGTAGTCGTATTAGGAGTAGACATGTCCCCTCTTCCAATTCACGGCCGGAGAATTGATTGAAGATTGAATTTGATACGGATGTATTCGTCGGTCAAATAAATCCAAACCGATACAGAACGTGAATGATGTGTCGAATGTTGACACAGCCTCAATGCCAACATAAATATATTTGAACTAGCTCCTATTTTTTCCCCTCGAGTATTCGAAAATGGACGAAAAAAATAGTCTGTATAAACAAATCTTAGCATAAAAAAGAAGGTCTATCCAAATTTTGAACCACTTGGACAATAAACGTATCAATACCCACTAAAAACAAATAGAATCCGATACTAGCACACGATAAAGAAAAAAAGAAAGATGGCGGCGAAAAATAAAGACAAAAATATCTTCGTCAAAAAGAGGAATAGGGACGATAGTTTAGAAATTTGTGGTAAGAATAGTTGTGGCAACTTTTGTAAGAAAACATTTTCTTGGTTTTGAATTTGGTTAAACGTCATTTTATTGGATGAAATGAATGGAGTATATCTTTTAAAAAAACATGCCGAACAGGAGAAAAACCTATAGAAAGCAAAGTAGCGGACATTGTGTACGGGTTAGGAAAACAGAAGAAATAAAAACGACCTGATTTCGATCTTTATTAGTTTTTTTGAAAATCATGAGATTTTTTGTTCTGATAGGGAATAGTGTAAGCCAATCTTCAAAAGAAATTTTAGACGGATTTGTTTTTTGTTCCGAAAGGAAGGATTTCCATTATTTCTTAAGGTATTTTTTATTTTCTCTTTTCAAGATATTTTATTTTTCTATTTGCTTTTCTATTTCTTTGCTATAATTTTTATTGACAAAGAAAAAAAAGATGCCACTCGTAAGTTACAGAAGCAGTGGCGTGTTTGACAAGAAAATGAATGTATCAAACATTTCTACAAGGGCCCACGTATTTTTCTTTTTTTTTTTTTTTTTTTAACTATAACAGATTCATTCATTTTTTCTACTCCAAGAAAATGATCTCCTGTTAGCATCACGTTATCTTTCCCTGGCTAGGAGGCAGATCAACCTCAGGGAACGTCCAAGAAATTATCTTTGTGCAAGGTTTATCGTTAAACACCTTTTATTTTTCCTTTATCTCTTTTTGATTTTCGACTTATGCCTTTTGATTTCATCCTCTCCAAGAAAATCTTAAATCATTTACTGTCAGAATGTCCATCGAGTCATCTCCCATTTTGGCTTCTCTGTTGTGATATCTGACGATGTGCGCGGTTATTGGCGCAGAAAGTCAAAGCTCCTTACCGAGTTCAAACTCCGGCCAATTTCATTGCATTCACTTTCGCACAAGTCAAAGGCCTGGATCCATCTCTTTTCCGCCTACGAGCAGAACAATCTCGGCTCTCTAGCTTTGGATAACAAGAACTACAGAAGAAAAGGAAGTCAGAAATATGTGCAGAACATGTTTAGTTTCTAAACGTACACGGACATTACAATTAATTTTCTCCCGCGTAAAAGCAGACGTGGAGGGAATAAAAAGACTACCAACAAAACAAAACCCCCACAAAAAAAAGAAAAAAATTAAAATAAATAAATAAAAAATAAAAATTAAAAAAACAAACAAACCCCAAAACGAAAAGAAAACAAAAACTAACAACTTCTATTTTGCACTATTTACATTATTCGGACAGTTATCCCCATCTTTATTGCTATATTCACAACGTTTCGGCTGTTGTACACTCGGGCCTTCTTCAGAATATGTTTACATTTCTGACACGAGGTATTGTATCTATTTGCTCTATTTATATTGTTCAGCCATTTGTCCTAACCCTTATTGCCATATTCACAACGTTTCGGCAGTTGTACACACGGGCTTTCTTCAGGATATGTCTATATTTCTAAGATGGGTTATTGTAACGATTTGCACTATTTACATTGTTCGTACTGTTTTCCTCGTCTTTATAGCCATATTCACAACGTTTCTGCCGTTGTACACACGGGCCTTCTTCAGGAGCTGTCTATATTTCTGAGATGAGATATTGTAACTATTTACACTATTTACATTGTTCGGACTGTCGTCCTCACCTCTATTGCCATTTTCACGACGTCTCAGACGTTGTATTTTATTCTATTATTGTCTTCCTCGCACTACTCGCATGTGGAACTCTCTATCAATTTCTTGCTTTCGTGCCACCTACGGTCTGAAAAAAAAATGTAGCGTCTTATTCAACTCTATATTTCTAACATCACCGCCTAAAACTTTTAAATTTATTTACTATTTATTTATTTTATCGTAATAGGAGTTGATAGGTTCTCCTATCGATCGGTTCATACACCTCCACAGTCTTTTGAACAGGAGTAGAGGTTTATCCCTTGTATCCTCTTTAGGATTGGGTTTCCAATTCCTTCTAATATCTATTTCAATTCTATACTTCTAACGTCTTCATCTGAACTCTGAAATTTGATTTCTTAATTATTTATTTTTCTTTCTTCTCAATATGTGTAGATAGGTTTGCCTATCGTTTGCTTCACGCGACTCCCCGGTCTTTTGAACAGGAGTAGAGGTTTATCCCTTGTTTCCTGTTTTATGATTGGATTTTTGGTTCCTTCTAAAGTCTACTTCAACTCCATACTTCTAACGTCACCGCCTAAAACTTTGAAATCTATTTACTATTTATTATTTTTACCTGAGAAGGTGTAGATTCACCTATCGCCCGGTTCTGATCTCTCCCCGGAACAGAAGCAACATTTTTTTTATCTTGATTTTGTTGCCATTTTCATGACATCTCAGACATTGCATTCTATTTTAATATTGTCTTCCTCGCACTTCTCGCATGTGGAACTCTCTACCGATTTCTTGCTTTCGTGCCACCTACGGTCTGAAAAAAAAAATGAATAGTCAATCACCATCTTCTGTGTTACTGGAACTTGTTCTTTCATTGTATATTCTTCTCATGCTCTTTTACTCCAAGTAACACCTTGTGTCTTATCACTTTGGCTTATCCCTTGTTTCCGGTTTAAGATTGGGTTTCCGGTTCCTTCCAATGTCTAATTCAAGTCTATGCTTCTAAAGTCTCCGCTTAAAATCCTGAAATTTATTTACTACTTATTTGTTTTAACTCAATAAGAATCGATAGATTCTCCCAACGACAAGTTTATATTCCTTCTTGGAGGAGGAGCCAAGGTTTATACCTTTTAATCGTAACTGTCGAAAGGGTAAACGAGGATAAGCAGTGAACAAAGGAAGTAGTTTAATGTACATGAATATGGATGAAATACACGCACACACACACACACACACACACACACACACATATATATATATATGGTAAAAAACAGGTATTCATGCAGCGTAAAAACATAAGTATACATCTGGAATGAACATACACACACACACACACACACACACACACACACACATATATATATATATATATATAGTTGGACTGATGTGAGTTTGTGACCCTGGGTTTCACGCTATTTGCGATCGGTTGTCTGACGATCACAAATAGCGTGAAACGCA